CCTGCCTGCTGTGTGTGCTGTGTGCTTGACCCGCCGGCCGGCTGGAGCCCACTTGGGCTCCGGGCCGAGGGAGCGGCGGGTCGACCAGCTGGCCGGGCCTTTCTTGCTTGGCCTACATTGAGTGGGCTGTGGGAAGGACTTGCGTAACGAGATCGAGTTCGCCTGGGCGGGCCGAGTCGCCAGTATGACCCGTTCTCTGGCGTTTACGTTTTCTTCTTAAGATGCGTTCAGTTTCTTCCTGGTGGTTATGTATGTATGTATGTATGTGTGTGTGTGTGTGTGTGTGTGTGGGTGTGTGTGGGTGGGTGGGTGGGTGGGTGGGTGGGTGGGTGGGTGGGTGATGGCTCTCTGCCTTTGCTGTTCGTGTCACTGCCACAATACGGAGGGGTACTTTCAACATGAAGGGGGTGTGTGTGTGTGCGTGCGTGCGTGCGTGCGTGCGTGCGTGCGTGCGTGTGTGTGTGTGTCTGTCTGCCTGCCTGCCTGCCTGCCTGCCTGCCTGCCTGCCTGCCTGCCTGCCTGCTGTGTGTGCTGTGTGCTTGACCCGCCGGCCGGCTGGAGCCCACTTGGGCTCCGGGCCGAGGGAGCGGCGGGTCGACCAGCGGGCCGGGCCTTCCTTGCTTGGCCTCCATCGAGTGGGCTGAGGGACATGTGTCTGGAGGTCGAAATGGCCTCAGCGGGCCGAGTCGCCAGTACGATGCGCTCTGTGGCATTTCCGTTTTCTCTCTAAGATGCGTTGAGATTTTTCATGGCGGTTATTGGGAGGGGGGTGATGGGTGTCTGCCTTTGCTGTTCCTGTCACTGCCACAATACGGAGGGGTGCTTTCAACATGAAGGGGGGTGTGTGTGTGTGTGGGGGGTCTGTCTGTGTGTGTGTGTGTGTGTGTGTGTGTGTGTGTGTGTGTGTCGGTCGGTCTGTCTGTCTGTCTGTCTGTCTGTCTGTCAGCCTGCCTGCCTGCCTGCTGTGTGTGCTGTGTGCTCGACCCGCCGGCCGGCTGCAG